ATATATATATATATATATATATATATATATGTATATATATGTATATATATATATATGTATATATATATATATATATATATGTATATATATATTTATATATATATATTTATCTATATATATACATGTATATATATGTGTGTGTTTATGTATATTAACTATCTGTAACCTTTGTTACCTCTGTACACTCCCAGGATCACGGAGGCGGTATCCAGTCTCCGCTATACGACGCCAATATTCGCGAGGTGAGTGTTCTTGTGACCCCACGCTTCTATTTCTACACATGCGCTATATGCCCAGTATATATGCCTTCTATCATGTACACATTGTACATTCAGTGCACAAATACTGTATTTTTAAGTAGAGGGTCTTTGTACTGAGTTAAGTGAGATGTTCGCGAGGGGAGTGTTCTTGTTGTTTCACGCTTCGAATTGTACACATGTGCTGTATGTCACAAACACTTACGTCAAATGTCATGCACTCACTATACTTCTTGTGCACAATAGATCATGTACAAATTGTTTTCTATCAATGTTGGCGAGACATACAATTCATATCTTGAGACCACTGTGAGTATTGCATTCCACGCACGCTGCACGTTCTGCGCACCATCTGACAGGTGTACACACACTTCCCTCGAGGGACGTGGCGTTGTTAAGTCAATCGGCCATGCAGTTCCGACTGCCGTACTTCACGTAAACAACTGTGTGTCGATGTTATGAGCCTAGGCCGAGATGCAACCGACATAGTATGTCCTTCGTCGAGAACACTCGACATTGTGTACATCAGGCACATGTCTGAGGGGGACTTGGTACAGGTCATCAAGTATGACGTAGTTCAGCAAGAGGCACTGAAGCACTCCTCGGAATAAACACATGCCTGGCACTCTAAAATCCCTTCACAAATAGCACCCGGTGTATTGAACTATTGAGGCACATGAGTAGCACAGTGAGCTGGCAGTGTGTCTTTTATAGCCAGCCGTGCTACTGTCACCAACCATGCTTGCTTCGTTGGTATTGGTAGTCGAAAGCACTTGGGCAAAATTGTATCTACATTTACTCGTAAGTAGGACCCGTACTGACACCGGATGACTCATCGCAGGCAATCCCGATTTTCACAATAAGCAACATGACGTTCGTTGGGAACAGAGCGTGGTACGGAGGTGGGCTGGCGGCAAATAAAGCCGATATTGCTCACTCTCTCTTTGCCAAGAATGTGTAAGTTTGGGTTTAATATATATATATATATATACAAATGTATAGATGTATATTCATACACAACCCCTAGTGACTGGGTATAGTCAATTATATAGAACGGAAGATATGTTGGCTTTCGAAGCGAGTGACCGATTCTGTAGAGTTACTGCAATGTTTGAGCATTTGTTATCTTCTTCCCATCTTGTATAAGCTCTATGTGTATGCCCTACATATGTAGTTTAACCCCACTGATCTGGGATGATACCTTTCCGCTCTATTAAGCTAAACAGTTGTACAGTGAGTGTGGTGTCCATCCTGCATCCAAGGTTCTTGATACTCTATCCTTGATATCTCAAAATCCGTAGCTTGGCTGCTGCATTCTCAATTACACGCGATTGTACGCACATTCTCGTGATCCTAGTTTCACCCATTTCCCCTGGGCTGAGAGTTTCTCGAGAATTGAGTGCTTCAATCGCAATACTGTCCAGTGATTGGGTGTACAGCCTGTCGATTGGTCTCTGAAGTCAGTGCTACATTTTTATCGAGCCCCTTGGTCTTACCGGCTGGATTTATTTTCCCGTCGATGAGTTTCTAGAATAAGTGCACCTTAACCATAAGACCCCCAGACTCTGAAACTAGCTCATGTGCCAAATCAACACTAAATCAACACTGAATCAACCCTAAATCAACCCTAAATTAATCCCGAATCAACCCTGAAACATAGAACCGCAATGGGATGTGAGTGCTAGCCTCGCATTGTTTGCGGAAGGGCGGACTCAAGTCAAATAGTAAACAAGACCAAATGATCCACTTACTTTGAACCCCGGAACGAAACAAAACACGTATTCATTTTTATATTGTCGCATAATGCATTTGCCGTAGCTACTTGTCCTCACGCGCTGTTACTCCCTTAATCTCACCTCCCTTACTCTTACTCACTTACTCTTACTCACTTAATCTTGCTCACTTAATCTTGCTGGCGTATGTACTGTGTACAGGGCATTACTGGACGGTGGGGCATTCCATCTGATGCAGAGTGTGTCTCTGAGCGTTCTGTACAATGTCAGCGTGTACCTCAACAGTGCGGGACGAGAAGGTGGGGGTGTCTACGCCCAGGGCTATCTTGCGCTGTATGTGCTTAAAAACAACCGGTGTACATTCATATATATACTTATTCACTCAGTTAATAGTGTACACGTACTGCATGCACCTTGGCTTAAGCACTCTACTTACCTGTGTATACTTGCTTCTTAACTACCTTTTTATATATAATTGCAGTTTGTTGATATCGTACTTGTGCTGTATGTACCATGGCTTCTACACTCAGACACTTGTCTGCCTACACTCAGGCACTTCTCTGCCTGTACTCAGACACTTGTCTGCCTACACTCAGACACTTCTCTGCCTACACTCAGTAGGCAGTACCTTAATTCCCGGTAGTCCAGTCTATAATACTGTCCAACCTAATTCGCCCATGTTTGTTCTGTGTAGCCATGCACCATTCATACCCATCCCTTCGTGCCTGTTCATACTGCCATACTTAGCCTGCTCTACCTTTGAATCTATGCTACCTTTGAATCTATGCTCATTGTAGACTGAGCAACTTGCGAAGGTGAAAGGCTACAAGCAATACTGTGTACACCCTATCCACTTTTATAAACGTTTCACATTCTACTTCTCGTACAATTGTGGCATGCCGTCCTTGTCCATAAACTTGACATGATACAATCTTCCCATGACTCGGAGCACCGAAGAAGTTATCGTATCAATGGAAATCTGGCATAGGTGAAATGTTCATTCAAGGATATGCATGGAGCGTTCACCCGCAAACATGATTCGCTCCTCCTGCCTTGGTTATTGTATCGTATCCTTCCCTTTCTTTAACTCAAACACATTGCACTCATTTCATATCCTCGTGCACAGCATAAGTTGTCGTATCAATGGCAATATGGCGGAGATGAAAGGCGGCGGTGTGTGGGCTGGAGCTCAGTTTCTCATGGTATGATCTAGTTCTCCTGATGTTTTTTTCATGCATTTGAATCGTCAAGCGAGATCTTACATTCTATAAGGACATGGATCGCTCGAGTTATTCGAGGGAGTCAAGCGACTAGTTGCTCATCATCTGCAGTCGTATGGGTCTACCAGGTCAATTTATGCTCTACATGCAAAACCGAAGTATGCGAATATCAATTTATTTTACAGATTATTACACACGCACAAATATCTACGTCTTTCAATTACTTTACAAATCACATGTATCTCCACGCCTCACACGCCTTCCTGCAGGGGAATTCGGAGCTCCAGTGCAACAAAGCAACGTACGGCGGGGCACTCTCGGTCAACCAATTCAGAGACGCCATCGGACTACAATTCGAAACTGAAGAACTCCAACAACAAGTCGCAACGCTCCAGAATGTCGCTGATGAACTACAGCCGTATCTTGATAGAGTTAACAGCACGCTTGGTATGATATAGTTCCAGTCTCTTTGTATGGAGGTTCATCCTCCAACCTCTTGCATGACTGTCCCAAACTCTTTATCGCTCTATCGTCTCTGGATACCTCTGATGAATGTCATGCTGCACAATTGGTGGTCTAAGCTGCAACATATTTATTCGATATTTTTATATACGTCTTATCATATATGTTATCACACATGCTATTTCTATTGTATAGTACTCTAAGATATTATTTTTCTGTTACGGCTTTCAGGGCCAACCAAAGATGCGTCTACTTGGGAGGGTGTTTGGTCACATGTCACAACGGAATTGGCATCAATGTTGCCAGGTAGGTATTTGATTCGTACGCAAGTGGCGGTGTATGTGTGTGTGCGTGTTCGTGTGCGT